GAATTACAGGAGTGAGCCACTGCGCCCAGCCTGCCTTGCTGGCAGACTTTTCGTCATGGCATTGATCTGATTACTTGTTATTGGTCTGTTAAGGTTTTGGATTTCTTCATGGTTAAATCTTGGTAGAGTGTATGTATCTAGGAATTTATCCATTTCTTCTAGGTTTTCCAATTTTATTGGCTCATAGTAGCCTTAATGATCCTTTGAATTTCTGTGGTATTGGTTGTCATGTCTCTTTCTTTCTTTTTTTTTTTTTTTGAGGCAGAATCTTGTTCTGTTGCCCAGGCTGGAGTGCAGTGGCCTGATCTTGGTTCACTGCAACCTCCGCCTTCCAGGTTTAAGCAATTCTCCTGCCTCAGCCTCCTGAGTAGCTAGGATTACAGGTGTGCACCACCATGCCTGGCTAATTTTTGTATTTTTAGTAGAGATGGGGTTTCACCGTGTTGGTCAGGCTGGTCTCAAACTCCTGACCTTGCGATCTACCCACCTCAGCCTCCCAAAGTGCCGGGATTACAGGCGTAAGCCACCACACCCAGCCAATGTCTCTTTTTCCACCTCTGATTTTATTTATTTTGATCCTCTTTTTCTTAGTCTGTCTAGAGGTTTGTCAATTTTATCTTTTCAAAAAACTGACTTTTTGTTTTGTTGATCTTTTGTATTCTTTTTCATTTCAATTTCATTTATCTGTTCTGATCCTTATTATTTCTTTTCCTCTACTAATTCTGGGTTTGGTTTGCTCTTGCTTTTCTAGTTCTTCAAGACGCTTCATTAGGCTTTTTTTATTTCAATTTTTTCTACTTTTTTTTGTTTGTTTGTTTGTTTTTGAGACGGAGTTTCACTCTTGAGGCCCAGGCTGGAGTGCAATGGTGCAATCTTGGCTCACTGCAACCTCCACCTTCTGGGTTCAAGCGATTCTCCTGCTTCAGCCTCCTGAGTAGCTGGGATTCCCTGCCACCACGCCCAGCTAATTTTTTGCATTTTTAGTGGAGATGGGGTTTCACCATGTTGGCCACACTGGTTTCGAACCCCTGACCTCAAGTGATCTGCCCACCTGGGCCTCCCAAAGTGCTGGGATTACAGGTGTGAGCCACTGCGACCAGCCTCTACTTTTTTTTGATGTAGGCACTCATTGCTTTAAACTTTTTTCTTTTTTTTTTTTTTGAAATGGAGTCTCACTCTGTTACCCAGGCTGGAGTGCAGTGGCGTGATCTTGGCTCATTGCAACCTCTGCCCTCCGAGTTCAAGCAATTCTCCCACCTCAACCTCCCAAGTAGCTGGGCTTACAGGTGCCTGCCACCGCGCCTGGCTAATTTTTTGTATTTTTAGTAGAGACGGGGTTTCACCACCTTGGCCGGCTGGTCTTGAACTCCTGACCTCATGATCCACTGGCCTCGGCCTCTCAAGGTGCTGGGATTACAGGCCTGAGCCACTGCGCCCGGCCTATAAACTTTTTGTTAGTACTGGTTTCGCTGTATCTCATGGGTTTTGTTGTGTTTCCATTTTCACTTGTTTCAAGAAATTTAAATTCTTAATGTATTCATTGACCCACTGGTCATTCAGGAACATATTGTTTAATTACCCTGTGTTTGTATAGTTTCCAAAATTCCTCTTGTTACTAATTTCTAGTTTTATTCCATTGTGGTCAGAAAAAATACTTGATATAATTTCAGTGTTTTTAATTAATTTAAAAATGTATTTATTTAATGTATAGGACAGTTGGAACATGGGGTGTGTGTGTGTGTGTGTGTGTGTGTGTGTGTGTATTTTTTAGACGAGTCTCGCTCTGTTGCCCAGGCTGGAGTGCAGTGGCAATATATCAGCTCACTGCAAGCTCTGCCTCCCGGGTTCATGTCATTCTCCTGCCTCAGCCTCCCAAGTAGCTGGGACTACAGGTGCCCACCACCGTGCCCGGCTAATTTTTTATATTTTTAGTAGAGAGGGGTTTCACCATGTTAGCCAGGATGGTCTCGATCTCCTGACCTCGTGATCCGCCCATCTCGGCCTCCCAAAGTGCTGGGATTACAGGCTTGAGCTACTGTGCCTGGCCTTTTTTTTTAATTTTTAAAAACTTGTTTTCTGGCCTATCATATTGTCTGTTCTTGAGAATGAGCCATGTGCTGAGGCGATGGATGTGTATTTTGCAGCTGTTGAATGAAAAGTTCTGTAAATATCTATTAGATCCATTTGGTCTATAGTGCAGAGTAAGTCTGATGTTTCTTTGTTGATTTTCTGTCTGGATGACCTGTCCAATGCTGAAAGTGGGTTATTGAAGTCTCCAGTTAATGTTGTGGGGTCTGCCTCTCCCTTAAGCTCTAATATTATTTGCTTTATATATCTGGGTACTCCAGTATTGGGTTCCTATATATTTATAATTGTTATGTCCTCTTGCTGAATTGACCCCTTTATCATTATATAATGACCTTCATCTCTTTCTATAGTTTTGTCTTGAAATCTATTTTGTCTAATGTAAGTATAACCATTCCTGCTCTTTTTTGGTGTCCATTAACACGAAATACCTTTTTCCATCTCTTTATTTTCAGTCTACGTGTGTCTTTATAGGTGAAGTGTGTTTCTTGTAGGCAACAGATTGTTGAATCTTTTTATTTTAATCCTTTCAGCCACTCTATGTCTTTTATTTTATTTTATCTTATTTTATTTTTTGAGATGGAGTCTCGCTCCTTGTCCAGGCTGGAGTGCAGTGGTGTGATCTCAGCTCACTGCAGCCTCCACCTCCCGGGTTCAAGTGATTTCCAGCTAATTTTTGTATTTTTAGTGGAGACAGGGTTTCAGCATGTTGGCCAGGCTGGTCTCGAACTCCTGGCCTCAAGTGATCCACCCAACTCAGCCTTCCCAAAGTGCTGGGATTACAAGCATGAGCCACCACGCCCAGCCACTCTATATCTTTTAAATTGGAGTATTTAGTCCGTTTATATGCGATGTTATTATTGATAAATAAGAACTTCTCCTGCCATTTTGTTATTTGTTTTCTAGTTGTTTTGTGGTCTTATCTTCCTTCTTTACTTCCTTCTTGTTTTCTTTTTTGTGAAGGTGATTTTCTCCAGTGGTATGTTTTAATTCTTGCATTTTATTTTGTTTATCTGTTACAGGTTTATTTTATTTTACCTTTCGAGACAGGGTCTTGCTATGTTGCCTAGGTTGGATTGCAGTGGTGCAATTTGGTCTCACTGCAACTTCTGCCTCGCAGGCTCAAGAGATTCTCCCACTTCAGCCTCCTGAGTAGCTGGGACTAGAAGTGCACACCACCACGCCCAGTCAATTTTTGTATTTTTGAAGAGACAGGGTTTTTTCTTTTTTTTCTTTTTGAGATGGAGTTTCGCTTTTGTTGCCCAGACTGGAGTGCAATAGCACAATTTCAGCTCACTGCACCCTCTGCCTCCTGGGTTCAAGCGATTCTCCTGCCTCAGCTTCCTAAGTAGCTGGGATTACAGGAAGGCACCACCATGCCTAACTAAATTTTGTATTTTTTTTTTTTTTTTTTTTGAGACGGAGTCTCGCTCTGTCCCCAGGCCCCCCCCCCCCCCCCCCCCCCCCCCCCCCCCCCCCCCCCCCCCGCTAATTTTTGTATTTTTAGTAGAGACGGGGTTTCATTGTGTTAGCCAGGCTGGTCTCGAACTCCTGACCTCAGGTGACCTGCCCGCCTTGGCCTCCCAAAGTGCTGGGATTACAGGCGTAAGCCACCATGCCCAGCAGAGACAGGGTTCTTTCATGTTGCCTAGGCTGGTCTTGAACTCCTGAGCTCAAGCAATCCACCTGCCTCAACCTCCCAAAGTGCTGGGATTATAGGTGTGAGCCACCGTGCCTGGCCTGTTGTAGGTTTTTTTGATTTGAGGTTACCATAATGCTTGCAAATAACATCTTATAACCTGTTACTTTAAACTGATGACACTTAACACTGGTTGCATAAACACACAAACTAACAAATGGGAAAGAGAAAACTGATAAAAACTCTGCACTTTATCTCTCCTGTTTTGTAACTTTTTGTCGCTTCTATTGTATCTTATTATATTCTCTTTGTCTTGAAAAGTTGTAGTTATTTTTAGTAGGTTCATCTTTTAGTCTTTCTACTCAAGATATGAGTAGTTTATACACCACAATTACAGTGTTACAATATTCTGTGGTTTTATGTGTACTTAATATTACCAGTGAGTTTTGTACCTTCAGATGATTTCTTATTGCCCATTAATGTCCTTTACTTTCAGATTGTAGTATTCCCACTAGCATTTCTTGTAGAACAGGTCTGCTGTTGATGAAATCCCTCAGCTTTTGTTTTTCTGGGAAACTTTTTTTTTTTAGATGGAGTCTCGCCCTGTTGCCCAGGCTGGAGTACAATAGCGTGATCTCGGCTCACTGCAACAGCGTGATCTCGGCTCACTGCAACCTCCACCTCCCGGGTTCAAGCGATTCTCCTGCCTCAGCCTCCTGATTAGCTGGGATTACAGGCGCCTGCCACCACACCCAGCTAATTTTTGTAGTTTTCGTAGAAATGGGGTTTCACTATGTTGGCCAGGCTGGTCTCGAACTCCTGACCCCAGATGATCCACCCACCGCGGCCTCCCAAAGTGCTGGGATTACAGGCGTGAGCCACCGTGCCTAGCCTGGAAACTCTTTATTTCACCTTTGAAGGATAACTTCACTGGATATACTATTATAGGATAAAAGTTTTTTTCCTTCAGCACTTTAAATATGTCATGCCACTCTGTCCTGGCCTATCAGATTCCCACTGAGAAGTTCTCTGCCAGACATATTGGAGCTTCTTTGTATATTGTTTCTTTTCCCTTCTGCTTTAGGATCCTTTCTTTATACTTGACCTTTGGGAGTTTGATTATGTCTTGAGGTAGCCTTACTTGGGTTAAATCTGCTTGGTGTTCTACAACCTTCTTATATTGGAATATTGATATCTTTCTCTAGGTTTGGGAAGTTCTCTGTTATTATCCCTTTGAATAAACTTTCTACTCTGATTTCTGTCTGTCTACCTTTTTAAAAATATAGAACACTTCATGAATTTGCAGGTCATCCTTGTGCAAGGGACATGCTAATCTTTTCTGTATCATTCAAATTTTAGTAGATATGCTGCCAAAGTGAGCACTACTATTTTTTTTTTAGAAATGGGATCTTGCTCTATCACTCAGGCTCAAGTGCAGTGGTACAGTCATAGGTCACTGCAGCCTGGAATTCCTAGTCTCAAATGATTCTCCTGCCTCAGCTTCCCAAGTAGCTGGAACAACAGGCACGTGTCACGATGCCTGGCTAATCTTTCCTTGTTTGTTGTAACAACAAGGAAAATGTATGTTGAAAATAGCTTTCTAGAAGAACTAGAGGAGCTGGGGGTGGTGGTACACCCCTGTAATCTCAGATGCTTGTGATGCTGAGGCAGGAGGATCACTTGAGCCTAGAAGTTTGAGATCATCCTGGGCAGTATAAGAAGACCTTGTGTCAAAAAAAAAAAAAAAAAGAAGAAAAGAAGACAAAAGAAAGAATAAAGGAGAAAGAAGGAAGAAGAAGAAGAAGGAGAAGGAGTAGGAAGAGGAGGAGGAGGAGGAGAAATAGTGTACAAGAGATTGTTTTCTTAGTGATTTCTTTTCATATTCTCAGCAGCATAATTACGCCTAAAGTAAACCTCTGTTTGTAGTGTTCAATTAATTCTGGCAAGCCTCCCTAAGATTCTTTCTTATGTTACCTCAAAGTCAAATTTTTTTATGTAAGAAGAATGAAAATGATGGAAGTAGTTTCTTTTTTGTGCGTTTTTTTGAGAGACAGGGTCTCACTTTGTCTTCTAGGCTGGAGTGCCGTGGTGCAAACGCAGCTTACTGCAGACTCAACCTCCTTGGCTCAAATGATTCTCCTGCCTCAGCGTCCCAAGTAGCTGAGACTACAGGTGTGTGCCACCACATCTACCTAATTTTACAACTTTTTTTTAACAGATGGGGTCTCATTATGTTACCCAGGCTGGTCTCAAACTCGTGGGCTCAAGTGATCCTCTCACCTCAGCCTCCCAAAGTGCTGGGGTAACAGGCGTGAGCCACTGAGCCTGGCCTTTGCCTTACTTCTCTCCCATCCCAGGTTCTACTGTCTGAACCCATTTTATTTATTTATTTATTTATTTATTTATTTTGTGTGACAGAGTCTCTGTCACTCAGGCTGGAGTGCAGTGGTACAATCTCAGCCCACTACAACCTCTGTCTACCAAGTTCAAGTGATTCTCATGCCTCAGCCACCCGAGTAGCTGGAATTACAAGCATGTGCCACCGCACCTGGTTAATTTTTTTATTTTTAGTAGAGACGGGGTTTCACCACCTTGGCCAGGCTGGTCTCGAATTCCTGACCTCAAGTGATCCACCTGCCTCGGCCTCCAGGTGTGAGCCACTGTGCCCAGCCCACACAGAAATATATTCAATGAAAAGTAAAAAAAAAAAAAAAAAAAAAAAAAGATGAAAAAAAAACTGACCATCTTTCTACTTGCCCCTCTTCTAGACTGGATAGGGAGGATTAGAACTTGATAGAATTCTGATAATAGGGAAGGCAGGACCACCATTAAGGCAAACATTGAAGTAGGCATTTCAGGTCCTGTATCCCCTGCCTTCTTGCTGTTCACAACCCTTCAAACTTTCCTTCTAGCGCTCTAGAATTACGACAAAGTCCCATGTTCCCAAATCACCTTTCCCCTGTCCCCTACACACACAAAAAATCCCATTTCCTTTGTGCAGATTTTAATCAGTTATCTGGAAGAGTCTCATGCTAAAAAATGAGTGTTTTATAATTGTTTAATCCAAGTGAACCTCTCAATGGTGGCATTTCCACAGTGTAGGAAATCTACCTATTGGAGCAAGAAGGCCTTTCCTTCTCTCTCTCTTTCTCTCTCTCTGTTTTTTTTTTTTTTTTTTTTTGAGACAGGGTCTCACTCTGTTACCCAGGCTGGAGTGCAGTGGTGCAATCACAGCTCACTGCAGCCTTCACCTCCCGGGGTCAGGTGACTCTCCCACCTCAACCTCCCTAGTAGCTGGGACTACAGGTGCATGCCACTATGCTTGGCTAATCTTGTGTGTGTGTTTTGTAGAGACAGGATTTCACTATGTTGCCCAGGCTGGTCTCAAACTCCTGAGCTCATGCGATCCACCCACCTCAGCCTCCCAAAGTGCTGAGATTACAGCTATGAGCCACACCGCACCTAGCCCATGAAGGCCTTTTTTTTTTTTTTTTTTTTTTTTTTGAGACAGGGTCTCACTCTGTTGCCCAGGCTGGAGTCCAGTGGCGCAATCTCGGCTCACTGCAACCTCTGCCTCCTGGGTTCAAGGAATCCTGCTGCCTCAGCCTCCTGAGTAGCTGGGATTACAGGCGCAGGCCACTATGCCCAGCTACCTTTTGTATTTTTAGTAAATATGGAGTTTTGCCATGATGGCCAGTCTGGTATTGAACTCCTGGGCTCAAGTGATCCACCTGCCTTGGCCTCCCAAAGTGCTGGAATTATAGCTGTGAGCCACTGCACTCAGCCCATGAAGGCCTTTTTTGTTTGTTTGTTTTTGTTTTTTGAGACAGGGTCTTGCTCTGTTGCCTGGGCTGGAGTCCAGTGGCGCAATCTCAGTTCACTGCAACCTCTGCCTCCCGGGTTCAAGGAATTCTCCTGCCTCAGCCTCCTGAGTAGCTGGGATTACAGGTGCATGCCACTATGCCTAGCTAATTTTTGTATTTTTGGTAGAGATGGGGTTTCGCCATGTTGCTCAGGCTGGTCTGGAACTCCTGGGCTCAAGTGATCCACGTGCCTCGGCCTCCCAAAGTGCTGGGATTACAAGTGTGAGCCACTGCACCCCGCCCTTTTTTTATTTTTATTTTTTTGGTGACAGAGTTTCACTCTTGTTGCCCAGGCTGGAGTCAATTGCGTGATCTCGGTTCACTGCAACCTCCACCTCCCGGGTTCAAGCGATTCTCCTGCCTCAGCCTCCCGAGTAGCTGGGATTACAGGCATGCGCCACCACACCCAGCTAATTTTGTATTTTTAGTAGAGATAGGGTTGCTTCATGTTGGTCAGGCTGGTCTCAAACTCCCGACCTCAGGTGATCCGCCTGCCTCGGCCTCCCAAAGTAAGCCACTGTGTGATTACAGGCGTGAGCCACTGCACCTGGCTTTTTTTTTTTTTTTTTTTTTTGAGATAGAATCTCCCTCTGTCGCCCAGGCTGGAGTGCAGTGGTGTGATCTTGGCTCACTGCAACTTCCACCTCCTGAGTTCAAGCCATTCTTCTGCTTCAGCCTCTCAAGTAGCTGTGATTACAGGTGTGTGCCACCACACTTAGCTAAGTTTTGTATTTTTAGTAGAGGTGGGGTTACACCATGTTGGCCAGGCTGGTCTCAAACTCCTGATTCCAAGTCCGCCTCAGCCTCCCAAAGTGCTGGGATTACAGGCCTCATGAAGGCCTTTCTGTTGCCTATTTCATTACCCAATTTGCCTATGCTAGATCTGAGGCAGGAAAAGAAAAAATCTGTGTGGCTCTCAATTATTTCTTTTGCTAGAGAAAAAAGTGATGCTTTAGGTAAAAAAAATTAAAGAAAGGGAGAAGGAGAATAGAGGCCAAGGCCTAGACCATTCCCTCCTTTCACACACTCCTGTTTGTTATTCAAGAAAAAAGCCTGCTGGGCGTGGTGGCTCATGCCTGTCATCCTAGCACTTTGGGAGGACGAGGTGGGGGGGATCACCTGAGGTCAGGAGTTCGAGACCAGCCTGGCCAACATGGTGAAACCCCGTCTCTACTAAAAATACAAAAAATTAGCCGGGCATGGTGGCAGGCACCTGTAATCCCAGCTACTCAGGAGGCTGAGGCATGAGAATTGCTTGAACCCGGGAGGTGGAGGTTGCAGTGAGCTGAGATCACACCATTGCACCACTCCAGCCTGGGCAACAAGAGTGAAACTCTGTCTCAAAAAAAAGAAAAAGAAAAAGAAAAAAAGCCAAATCCTTACACTAAATTGCATCAAACTAAGTAGAGTTCCATTCTTCCACAATTCCAGTGTAACTAGACTCTAGGAAGTCACAGACAGAAGATCTAACCACTAGAGTTTCCCTAAATTATAGGTTAAGGATATTTTTAGAAAGATTACAAATATATTTTTTAACTTTTTCCAAAGTTCTCTTTTCTTTTTAGCTGGCTACCGAAATATCCTCCTAATTCTAGCTCTTGTAACCCCTCTATTATCTCCCAAGATATAACTCTAATTCTTTGTTCTCGTAAGCACTGAATTGTGACCTAATGGGTATCATGGCCCCATGTCCTTTTTCCTAGGGTAAAACCCAGACCTAGCTTGTTGCCAGTGTCCTCAGACCACCTTGGGTGAGTTTCCTTTAGGTAAAATTTGTCGGTAGCAAACTTTACATAGTTTCTGCCAAACTTGCTTTTTTTTTTTTTTTTCAGGTTTCCGTGTGAGGTTTAATACTATATGCATCAAAACATCAAAGCTTTTTTTCAGAGAAATATACTCTCAAGGTGAACTGTGGATATCGTAGATGTCTATTCTGAGGTCTTCTGTGGTTCCAGACACAGCAGGTAGTGAATTGGGAGGAGCCAATACCACCAGATACCAAAGGCAACCATGGAGGGGCAGTTTAATTAATCACTGTTCTTAAATTTGTCATTGATATAAGACACCCAGTCCAGAATCAGCTGCCCAGTTGGTAGGTGACTATAGCGCCATGGTACCCGTGGTGCCTGACATGGGAATCCAGTGCCTGACATGGGAATCCAGTTCTTCCCCAATTCCAAGTAGGGTGGGCTGGGAGCGTGGAAACAAAGCAATGCCACCTACAGCCCTCCACATTTACTTTTCTTACTGTTAATGTAATCACCCATGATGTAGCACAAACATTATTATGAATATAATCAAATGTGTGTCTGAACATGATAAAAAATAAAAATTGTATATTTAAACTCTATGCATGGCCGGGCGCAGTGGCTCACGCCTGTAATCCCAGCACTTTGGGAGGCCGAGGCAGGCGGATCATGAGGTCAGGAGATTGAGACCATCCTGGCTAACACGGTGAAACCCCGTCTCTACTAAAAATACAAAAAATTAGCTGGGTGTGGTGGTGCGCGCCTGTGATCC